ATCCTCTCGCACAATCATGATCTGACAAATAAATCCACTACCTGGATGTGTATATCCTTAGGTAAACAAAAGTAGAACTGTGCCAGAGTAAGCCCTGATATCACCTTGGAGATATGGCATTTCAAGTTGAACAGCAAGGTAAACATACATGTGATCTTGAAAATCGTTCGCGTCCAAATATACTTTTGTTGTGCGAAGCGGGTCATGTGCATGTTGCCAGGGCTGTTCAGAGAACAATGGCCCTAGAACCGTAGCCTAAGAGATTCCGCATTAGAACTTCCCGCAGAAACCTTACCTGTGTTTACCAAATGGATTAAGTCGAGCTGCTGCAAGGTTACCTCCGTGCTACCTCCCTGTGTGACTACTTGTGAGCAGGTATCCTTACATGAGATAAGGTATATTTATTGGAAAATATTCCATTACGGAACAGACGCAGTTCTGGTGACAGGTATACAAAAACATACAGGCAACATTTAGAGTGAGTGAGTTTAGTTTCACGCCACACTCAGCAATATTCCAGCTATATGGCAGCGGTCTGTAAATAATCGGGTATGGACCAGACAATCCAGTTATCAACAGCATGAGCATTGATCTACGCAAATGGGATGACATGTGTCAACCAAGTCGGCGAGCCTGACCACCCGATCCCGTTAGTCGCCTTTCAGGACAAGCATGGGTAACTGAAGATCAGTTCTAACCCGGATCTTCACGGGTGGGTAACATTTACAACAAATTATAAGAAACATGCGCAAGTAAGATGATTTGGTACATCAACTGGCATGTGTTGTTTGTTTGTTGTTTAACTCGCCACTCAGTAATATTCCAGCTATACGGAGGCAGCTTGTAAATGATGAAGAAACCTCATCACAGTGAGCGGGCGGTGGGGTAGCTTATTGGTTAAAGCGTTCGCTCGTCACGCCGCAGACACAGGTATGATTCCCCATATGGGTACAATGTGTGAAGTCCATTTCTGGTGCCCCCGCCGTCATATTGCTGGAATAATGCTCAAACCGGCGTGAAACTAAACTCACTCACTCACTCATCACAGCGTAACGGATGGAAACATGTAAAAACTTAACGAAAGGACGTCCTTGCCTTGTTATTTCAAGTGCGAACTTGCACCAGGTGCTGACGATCAGTGAAACGTGTCCCAGCTTCGCAAGACTTTGTTCATTATATCGATCAGGACACCCGGAATAATCGATCGGTTTTGTCAAGGATTTGGTTGTTGAAGTCTTGTCATGGTGACTCACTCTGTCCAACTCGCAGGTAATAAATTATTTACAGCTGCATGGGCGAAGAATCAAACAACTAGACCGGGGGTAAACGCCACAGAGAGATAGACGTATAAAATGCAACTACATTGTTCTAACAAAAAACACATGGGCTAACACTGAAACAACAGTAGTGAATACAATTAAATGTAATCTGTGCATGCAGTCACGTGTCATGAAGAGGAGACGGTGGGGGCAAGAGGTTTGGATTTTCCTTGTTGCTTGTACTTTGGTTTCTCTTGAGGTTTGTGCCATGTGTATCCTTGTCCTGCACCAAATACGTTGCAAACCTACATTTTGTCGCTCGCTTGATACCAAATCGTTGACTGTATTATCATGTTTTACATCTCGTTGTATTGAAACGGGTTCATCCTCATCGCTGTGTTCATAGTCAAATCAATCTTTATTGTACAACAAGGCATGCTCTTTATATTGGCCGATATACAAAGCGTTCGCTCGTCAGAAGACCCTGTATTCCCACATGGGTAGTCATACTGTTACACACAGGAAGTAACACGTTCTTTAAACAGTTCATTTCTTTTAACTAGTGCACGTTTGATATATAGGGAAAGGTTTAATAAATGGGATTCGTTCTTATTCGTTAAGATATATACGAAAGCTTTAAATGGCGGCATCCCTACCAAATAGTCTTTAATATATTTCTTTCGAAGGTCACTATAAAATGGACAGACGAACACAAAGTGAATTTTATTTCTATTTCTATATCGCATAATTGACAGATTCGTTTCGATTTTGCAATGGAAAGTTTTCGTCCTTCATTTACAAAAAGGTCTAACAAACCCAGCCGATATTTAATAAAATGTTCCTTAAATTTTCCGTCGTGATTATCGATAAATAAATTTGGTTGAAGTAAGGTCTTGAAGGTTTCTGTAATAAGCATATCGTGAACTATCTTCTAAAGTGGAATGCCATTCCTGGTAAAACATATTAACAGACCGAGTTCTAAATTCTTTAAGAAACATGTCTACACTTCCAGCTGACTGACATAACCATATAAAACCATAACCATGGAAAAATAGAAAATTCCTTATATGCGATGCCCATGTAATTTTCCCCTTGTTATCTAAATGTAAAAACATGTTATAAGCTATTTTGGTGCATATGAAGAAGTTTGAACCAATATTTTAAACATCTAATTTGGGAATTAATATATAATGGGTATCTACCACATTCACCATATACCATGCCATTTGGTGTAGAGGATCCAACACAAAGAATTTTTTTACATGCTAATAAGTGGACCTTCTCCAAACATTCATACCGCTGAAATCCCCATACTTCTGAGCCATATAATAAAATTGGTTGTATCTGGGTATCAAAGAGCTTAAAGAATATGTTAGGTGACATGGTTCCAACTTTGTGGACAATAGACATTACACTTATTAAAGCTTTCTTTGCACGCAATGATAAATCTTTGGTACATTTTTTCAAGTTCCATAATTTGGTTTTCAAATCATAAAAAACAACATGTCGTGGTTTGTACTCATAAAAAGCGTGTGTCGTGCATGATGAATGGGCATGGGTATATTTCATTACGGTGTTAAGCGTGAAGTCCAAAGTCAATATCGTAGCTTAGCATGTGTATCATAACTGCCAGGGGGCCTGTAAGTGAAGAAGAGTAATGTGCCAACGTACCTATTCAATTTCTACTAAAATATTTCATGACCATAAATTGAGTTTATTATCAACTTTCTGGAAATCTAAACCTAAAAAATTAATAATGCTGAAATGGTATTTTCTAAAGAAGACCTTTTGAAAATGTTGTATTTCACATCTTAGAATCGAATTAGGCAAAATTGTCACTGAATTGCAGCAATTTCATTGTTGTTTTGTGTTATTAAACAATAATGTTCAGTTATGTTTCTTGAACAAAATAAAAATAAAAATTTCGATTATGTCCCTCACTTACCCTTGAGTCATGAAGTTGGGGAATCATCACTTTGAGTTTATATTATTTTTAAATATCCAAAAACTTTAACTTACGTATTTTTGTGTTCTTTGTCACAAAGCTCACTATTCCCAGTGTGAAGCCCATTTCTGGTGTCCCCCGCCGTGATATTGCTGGAATATTGCTAAAAGTGGCGTAAAACAGTACTCACTCACTCACTATTCCCAAATGCTACCTACCATTTTGGACAGAGGGAGCATTTACATTTTGGGGATGTAAAATTAAATATTTCTTCTCTTGTCACGTACCTATAAATCATCAGTTAGTAAATGATTGGCAATACTGATTTTTTACGCGTAAACATTGAAAATGACATTTTTGTCTACTGCACATGCGCACAAGGAAACCAATTCATGTGCCTCCACATCAGAAATTATTTTAGACATGTTCTTGCATATGATCACCAATGTTCGTGCTTTTATCATTAAATGCACATTTCTAAAGGGAACTTGATCTTAGCCGCTTCACGAATACACTGTGCTTTCATCAGCCGATCAAACAATTGGAGTTATACATATATATTATACATATGGTGCAATAAGTAGTACTTAGTGATCCAAACAGCAAATCATGATACAGTCAGTAAATTATGTACAGGTAGTGAAATACGATGGACCTACAACACCTTTTATCAGATTGTTACGTTTAATAAGAGCATAATTGATATAGTACGACAGCTTTATTATTACATGCTGGTCAGTTGATGAAAGAAGTAGTTTAAATGCTAATGTAGGTGGCTTACATAAATAATATTCAGCTATATATTTCGTACGCAAATCTTTATACAAAGGACATACAAGTAAAAAATGGATTTCATTTTCCACATCTATATTACAGAGTGGGCACATTCTCTTGCATTGTTCAATATAAAAACGTCTTCCTTCGTTTACCATTATGTTGATCAAACCTAACCTAAAACGTATAAATGGATATCTTAATTTCTTTGATGTTAAAAACGACAGATATTTCTCCGGCTGGAGTAGTGATTTGTATATTCTATAAGAGTCGTACCGTGAACTATTATGTATTACTGAATACCATTCTTGATTAAACATATTAAGACTTCTTTCTTGAAAATGAGTTAAAAACAAACTTGCATCACCAACTGACTGACTTAACCATACAAAACCATAACCATGTGAAAACAGAAGATTTCTTACATAAGATGCCCACGTCACTTTACCAATGTTGTCCAAATGAACAAGCATGTTATAAGCCTTTTTGGGTAATGTATGTTCTTGCATACACAATATCTTAAACCAGAATTTTATACATCGAATATGAGCATTTATATACAGGGGATACCTCCCACATTCACCGTACACCATACAATTCGGTGTAGAGGGTCCTACATTTAAAAATTTCTTACAGGCCATCAGATGTATTTTTTCTATGCATTCATATCTCTGGAATCCCCAAATCTCGGATCCATACAAAAGAATAGGCTGAATTTGACAATCAAATAGTTTAAAATAAGCAAGGTCAGTAGGCAAGGGTTCTTCAGTTGTACAAAAATGTTCCTTTGTACACGTATAGCCTTTTACCATACCATGGCGGTTATGTGTGAAGCACATTTGTGGTTTCGAAACAACTGTACATACAAACAGAAACAGGAACGTAATAATCGCAAAATTTAATGTGTTACATATCAGACACGAACGCACGCACGCGCACACGCAAACATACACTACATGTTCGATGAGTCGGCCCGGCTCTTCCACACCCGACAAATTGCTTAGTGTGCGCGGGGCTCAACGATCCAGCCCCGCGAGAAGAAAGAGCATTGGAATGGGGCGGGCTGGACGCGATAGCCGAAGAGCATGATGCGCGTCGACAGCATTTAGTAACACCGATCGCGTCTCAACAACAGGTGATGGCGAAGTGCAGCCCAAACAGTTATGGATGTCTTGACACACTCATGAAACGGATCAGGACACTTATCAAGGGCACTCTGTTGGACAACATGGCGAAAGCATTTCTTGTGTTAACCCGGTAAGGAATTTTCTGGGATGTTATTCTTTGTTAATGTACAATGTATACCTCAGTACGCTCACAATTTATATTCCAGTACCCTGATACTTTATACCGCAGTAACATCTCAGGTTATACTTCAGTGTCGTCAGATTATACCTCAGTGCCATCTCAATTTATCCCATTTAAACTTGGACGTTACCAGGTGAAACTAGATCAAGCGACAAGGCCCAGCTTCCTCTAATTGTTGCCGTGGTAACTACCACCATGACATTTACACGTGGTGGAACTGGGCATAGATATCACAGCAATACGTGGGAAAGAAATAATCCTGTCTGAAATCCTGTCCTGTAGCGGTTCACTGAACTCACCGTGATGTACGCATCACACAGTTATACCAGTGACTTTTGTGAACGTTTAGTAAAATCGGGATATGTAAGGAATGGCGCGCGGTAACTTGAGTGCAGGGGGTGGGGGTGTCACGCTGCTTGTGTGTCGGTGTCGGTTCCACAAGACTGGGTTAATTAGGAACCGCTTCCGACCACAACAGCTGTGGTTATGTTAGCGCCTAGACTTGCGTAGTGTCTTCTCACTTAGCCAGATTCTGTCAAAACAGGTCTCTCACATAGCCATATAGACTAACAACTAGTCTCTGAAATGAACATATTTTATTTTAAAAAAGTTCATAGTGAAAAAAAAGACTAAACAAATCTGCAGAGGGATGATTTCTTGGAATTTCACAACATGTACACAGGTTCTTATCACCCATTACTGCTTTAATTGTGTGTGACAGGAGTATTTACTGCCCGCACCGCCTCCCCGTCCTACTGCCAGTGGTGTGGGCCGATTTGGGGTAATGAGTATCAAGTGTCGCCAAATCTATTTTGAGAGCAAGCAGGGATACTAGCTAAGGGTAGCATCTCTTGATATTCCTGTGGCTGGACAACTGGATCTCACCAGAGACCATATAATAGGTTATTTATTATTTATTTAATCTATTATATGGTCTCTGATCTCACCAAAAAAAATTCCAAAGTTATTTATACTTTCCAAAATCCAAAGGTTGTGTCTGCACTATATGTGGAAGTTTAATTGATGTCGCATATATATAATGTAACAAGGAGAAAAAGTCATCAATATCCCCCGCAATGGCAAAATACTCTTCATGTATATGTCAGTTAGTTACGACTATGTCAAATGTTTTGCAGGGGTTCAGCTGAGGAAATCTAGACTTGCCACTTTTTCTAGACTTGCGTGGGCTTTCTTGGATATATTTGCTTCAGGGTCTGTACGACAGACTAATAGCCATAGTGCAGTGCAGACCTTTTTGGTTAGACTCTGGCTAAGTGAGAGTGAACCTTATACACCAATGGGCTTAGCGTTCAGTACAGCCTTGGAGCAAGGCTATTTCAGCGCCCTACACTCACGCCTGTCTACACTAACGCTTAGTTACTGAATATATATAATTTTGATAGTAACAAATAAACCCATTTGAATTGAAAAGGAGCCCTAGTGATTTGGGAGATTCTGCACCTGGGGAAATCTAGACTTGCTTCATTCAGGGCTTTAGCATTGAAGGGAGGGCTAGGCAGTAGGGAAAATAATGTGGTTCAGGGACTGTGAGACAGACTAACACCCATCTGGCACCAGTGATCTCAGGAAATACAGGAGTTGTAATAGTTCAAAGCGGGTAAACTAGGTCCTTAATTCGCTACTGAAAGGAAGGAAGTCATTTGTATAATTTTGACGACTAGTCTATTATTACACAAAGAATTGGAACTCATTTTCTTGACGATAACGGGTCACGTGTGTTATTAAAGGAGAATATTAGACAACTGCAATAATTTGCTGGGTGAAAGATAAAGTCATCAGAAACATGTACCCCAATTTTTATTTAAAAACTATGGTTTATTATGTTTTAATCGCGAAAACAGTTTCTGCTATCTTAGCTCCGACCATTATGCATATACCTTTTCCTTCGTGGTCGACTAATGTTTAGTCTCTGAAAAAAAAAATATTTTGAGAAAAACAAACCACATTTGAATTGAAAAAGAACCCTGGTGAGATTTTATTTTCCGGGGCATGAAAGATAGGCTAATATTTGACATCAAGAACATCGATCTACGCAATGGTGATAAGATGACATGTGTCAACCAAGTCAACGAACCTCTTACGACAGATATTAGTCATTCATACAGACCCTGAAAAAATATACCCAAGAAAGCCCAGGCAAGTTAAGAATATATAGACAGACAGACAGATTATTTATTTGAGTCTCATCTCACTTGTAAAATACAGGGCATATATAAGCTATAATACAGAATAAAAGTGAGCCACCCGTTTAGGGTTATGAGTGACTATTGTAGACTTTAAGAACAAACATAAATATACACCATGAGTGTGTGAGTGAGTTAAAATTTAAAGTCACATTTGCATTATTTCAGCCATATCGTGGCTAAAACTAGCTTTTAAGTTCATTATAAATACATGTAAATGGCTAAACGCCTGTCAAGAAAGGACAGTAAAACCAACTAGAAAATCACAGACACAAAAAATAAAACTAGTATCTATCTCTAAAACTGGACTAAAACGACAGGCATTAGTCTTTCATACAGACCCTGAAGCAAATGTACCCAAGAAAGACCAGGCAAGTTAAGAATGTATATAGTCTAGGTTACCACAGTTTCTGGGTTGGTACTAGCCTTGCTCCAAGCTGCTACTGAATGCTAAGTTCATTATGCATAGTAATTCTATCCTTTAATTCTATCATTGCTGCAAAGAGACATATTCACTTATGCAGTATTAAAAATATGCTTCCAAATCTAACTTTCTATATAAAAACTCTAAAAGAAATATTCTTTATGGAAAAACATATATCAGCAAAAAATAATAAAATAAATAATTTCCATCATAAATGGAGCCTTCTCTCCCCAGTACTTAGATGACTCAAACTGTATTGACTTGTACCTGACATTATCTGTACATTATCTATTCAATGAATTATACATGTTTATAAATATATTAATACAAAAATATGTCACCTATACATCTGTACATTATCTATTTAATGAATTATGCATGTTTATAAATATATTAATACAGAAATATATCACCTGTACATCATGTAGCCATATTACTTTAAGCCGTATACGTATCACGGCTTGGTATATCTGCAATATTGTAATCTTGGGAACCAATAAAAAAAATATAAAAATAAAAATAAAAAGGCAAGGCTAGATAAGTGGATAGTACAGATAGAGGGACATTTATGTTTTTAGAAATTTATCATTTTATCTATTAATCATTACCTTAGAGACGTGTGCAAGTTTAGGTCTGTACCAATCTGCTGAGTTCACAAGCGAGCACAGTAAAGTAATAGTCTGTCTCACAGTCCCTGAACCACATTATTTTCCCTACTGCCTTGTCGTCCCAGCAATGCTAAAGCCGTAAATGAAGCAAGTCTAAATTTCTCCAGGCTCTCAATCTCGGGTATATCTGGGGCTCCTTTTCAATTTAAATGGGTTTATTTGGTACAATCATAATTATATATTCAGATAACAAGCGTTAGTCTGAGCTTGTTATTATCAGTTGATCTCCAGCTGTCACTAGTGTTTCATATTAACTCATGCTTCTGCCTGTCCTCTGACTCTAGACTAGTCTCTCGTACAGACCCTGAAGCAAATATATCCAAGAAAGCCCATGCAAGTCTAGAAAATGTGGCAAGTCTAGATTTCCTCAGCTTCTGAAAATGAAGAAAGTCTGAGGGCTCCTTTTTTATTATATATATATTTTTTTACTATGAACGTTTTTTTCAGTAAAATATGTACATTTCAGAGACTAGTTGTTAGTCTAACGCTAGACTTGCACAAGTCTCTAAGGTAGAAGTTAATAGTTTAAATGATAATTTCTAAAAAAATAATAAATAACAGACTGGGGTCACAGACTGGGGTTGGCTTATCTAAACTTGCCTCTTCGAAGGATTGAGTTACTATACATCCATGGGCTTAGCATTCATTAAGCCTTGGAACAAGGCTACCCTCACTCCATCCAGCCACTATGTGTCATTACACTAGACACCGGAAGACAAACAAAACTGTGTACAGTGGAGCACCGTTGTCTCGATATTCATGGGACCAAGAAAAAATATCGAGTTATCCGATCTTCGAGACAACCTACCGATCATTGGATTCTCAGTATGTTTTGATTCGAAACTATCATCCGTTATCAGTAGTGTTTAGTCGTAACAGTGAGTACTTCCTAATTTATTCCTTCTTATAGTCCGTTTGGCTCAAAGTCCGACCGATGAATTGCAATCTAACTCGAAAACTACTAAACACATAATACTCAATGAAACACTGATCATGATCAAAACATCAGACCAACTTTTTTTTCTTTTTTTTTTGTGTGCAGAAGTTATGTCCTAAAAATGTTTAACAAACTATCATTCAAATTTTGACAAAGTTTGTTACGAGAGAGGTCTGCAAAGAGAGGAACAGCCAGGTGTACGTGGAGCACGTGCCGACAAATTATTGAATCATTTACCTGTGTTGTGCTGTCTCCATCCTTTCTCGCACACATGCGAGACTAACAACTAGTCTCTGAAATGAACATATTTTACAGAAAAAAAGCTCATAGTAAAAAAAAAAAATATAATGAAAAGGAGCCCTGAGACTTTCTTCATTTTCAGAAGCTATGCGCAATCTAGACTTGCCACATTTTCTATACTTGTGTGGGCTTTCTTGGATATATACTACCCATCGAAAGTTTAGACTCACTTAAAGCACTCACTATATGTTATGTATATATGTATGGTTACATCGAAGATGAGTTTCTCCACTAACTTGGGGGAACCAACTGAAAACCTCATGCAGATGAGTTGCAGGAGGATCATGCATCAAATTGCTGTAAATCATGTCAAAATATCGTGCATGTGAACAGCTGCGTTTTGGTGTAAACTTTGTTACGAATTCGTCAATTTTCACTGAGTTTCATCATTTATTGAACTCATGACAATATTCATT